AAAGCTTTGCCACATTCTTCACATTTGTAGGGTTTCTCTTCTGTATGAATTATCTTATGTTTAGTAAGGATTGAGAATATACTAAAGGTTTTGCCACATTCTTCACATTTGTATGGTTTCTCTCCAGTATTAATTCTTTTATGTGTAGTAAGGTGTGAGGACTCCTTATAAACTTTGCCATATTCTTCACATCTGTGGGGTTTCTCTTCAGTATGAATTATCTTATGTTTAGTAAGGGTTGAGAAAACACTAAAGGCTTTGCCACATTCTTCACATTTATAGGGTTTTTCTCCAGTATGAATTATCTTATGTCTAGTAAGGGTTGAAGATCGGTTAAAAGCTTTGCCACATTCTTCACATTTGTAGGGTTTCTCTCCAGTATGAATTAACTTATGCCTAGTAAGGTGTGAGAATTGGTAGAAAGCTATGCCACATTCTTCACATTTGTAGGATTTCTGTCTAGTATGAATTCTCTTATGTGTAGAAAGGTTTGAGTCCTGGTTAAAAGCTTTGCCACATTCTTCGTATTTGTAGGATTTCTTTCCAGTATGAACCCTCCTGTGTCTAGTAAGGGTTGAGAACCAGATAAACGCTTTGCCACATTCTTCACATTGGTAAGAATTCTCTCTAATATGAATTCTTTTATGCTGACGTAGGTGTAAAAGCAGGCAAAATGATTTGCCACATTTTTTACATTTGAAAGGTTTCTTTCTAGTATGTTTTGTGTTATGTCTATTTGAATTTAAAAATTTGTGGAAGACTTTCACATATTTATCACATTGAAATATTTTTCTCTGGGTAGTTGTCAAACACAGGTTTAGTTCATTATAACCTTCTTTGTGCACATTACACTCATTCACACTTTTACAGCCTTTTCTTAACTGTAAATCCTTGTGTCCACATTTTACATATTCTCTCAGTATCACTTTTTGAAAAGAATCTTTAATGCCTGGCCCTGGGCAAAGGTCTTCAGCAAAATGAGAACATATAACTGAAAGAAATAAAAATGTCAAATTACTCCACTTACTAGACTCAGATAAACATAGATTACAAATCTAACCTATAATATTATACAAACTACATAAACAAGATAGCATAGCAAAATACCAAAGGTTCTAATTCTTTATAGACATATGTATGTAACAAAAACATACTAACCAGAATACATCTGAGAAAAAATTATAAATGAGTTAAGTGTTTGAAGCACCCCAGGTGAGCACAAAGTGACACAGAAGGGAAGAGCTAAAGTTTGTTACATTCACCCAACATGACTATTCCAGGTCCCCAATATAACATAATGCCTTTAGAAGTAAATTGCCAGCCAGATGCAGTGGCTCAACCTGTAATCTCAGCTACTTGGGAGGCTAAGGTACCAGTGAACCAAGATCGCGCCATTGCACTCCAGCCTGGGGAACAAAACGAGAATAAATCTCAAAAAAAAAAAAAGAAAAAGAAAAAAGAAAAGAAAAAAAGAAAAAAGAGGTAAATTGCCAACTTTTGATTTTTTTAAAAAAAGACAAGTAAAATGCTGGCTCAAACTTCTTTATTACTTCCTTGTCTGGGCTTTTCCAGACACTGGTTTCTGTCTCCTATGATACATAGTGCAAAAAGAAATGGTGCTTTACTTTGGAATGACAGTTTGAGTATGCTGAGACCAAAGGTAAATGTTACAGCAGTAGAGACACTGCAGTACCACAGAAAGAAAACAGGTGTAGCAAGTGATTACTGAGTATTAAGAAAAAAGATGACTAGGGGTCAGGTGCGGTGGCTCACGCACATAATCCCAGCACTTTGGGAGGCCTAGGCGGGTGGATCACGAGGTCAAGAGATTGAGACTATGCTGGCCAACATGGTGAAACCCCATCTCTACTAAAAATACAAAAATTAGCTGGGCACGGTGGCACTTATCTGTAGTCCTAGCTATTCAGGAGGCTGTGGCAGAAGAATCACTTGAATCTGGGAGGCAGAGGTTGCAGTGAACCGAGATCACACCACTGCACTCCTGCCTGGTGACAGACTGAGACTCCATTTCCAAAAAAAAAAAAAAAGACGAATAATTTCCTTTAACTAAAAAATAAACACAAAATTTCAGACAAGACAGACTGAAAGAACATGATCTTGAGAGATTCTCAGACTCTCTAACTCAGACAATTGTTCAAAGTATGCCAGGAGAAAGCCATATTACAAAGATTGTGACAGGTAACTTTTTAATGTTCAAATTTTGATAAAAGATTACAATGTGGCCAGGTGCAGTAGCTCACACCTGTAATCCCAGCACTTTAGGAGGCTGAGGTGGGCGGATCACCTGAAGTCAAGAGTTTGACACCAGCCTGACCAACATGGAGAAACCCTGTCTCTACTAAAAATACAAAATTAGTCTGGCACGGTGGCAGGCACCAGAAATCCCATCTACTCGAGAGTCTGAGGCAGGAGAATTGCTTGAACCTGGGAGGTAGAAGTTGTGGTGGGTGGAGATCATGCCATTGCACCCTAGCCTGGACAAGAAGAGCAAAACTCTGTATCAAAAAATAAATAAATAAAATAAAATTTTGAGGAAAACCAATAAAAAATGAAATAAACTGAGTAATACTCAATGAGTGAAATATGAGCACAGAGAACTATAGAAAATCAGAAAACTGGAAATAAGAAAAAAATATTTAAAATATTAGAAAAACAAATTATGGAGGTAAAAAATATAAAAAAACTGAAAAATCTTGAAAAATGATGTAAAAATAAAAAAGCTCAACAAACAATCTGGGACACAAGCAAAGATATTTATATCAAACACGTATGTAAGTACAATTGTAAAAGTCACAGAAAAGGGAATCTTGGGAGCTACAAGATAAAAGTGATGTGTTGGCTGGGTGCAGAGGCTCATGCCTGTAATCCCAGCACTTTGGGAGGCGGAGGTATGCCGATCACCTGAGTTTGGGAGTTCAAGACCAGCCTGACCAACATGGGGGAACCTGTCTGTACTAAAAACACAAACTTAGCTGGGTGTGATGATGCCTGCCTGTAATCCCAGCTATGCAGGAGGCTGAGGCAGGGGAATTGCCTGAACCAAGGAGGCAGGGGTTGCAGTGAGCTGAGATTGCACCATTGCACTTAGCCTGGGCAACAAGAGTGAAACTTCGTCTCAAAAAAAAAAAAAAAAAGTGTTATTTGCAACAATACTCTTATGAGATAGCCAGTGGATTCTCAACAAAAATTTTGCAGGCCAGAAGGAGACTGTGTGAAATAGTCAAAGTTCTGAAAAAAATTAACTATCAAGTATTTATAATACCATCACCAAGTCTGTCCTGCAAAATAAAAAGAAAAAAAAACTTCAAAACTAACCAAATTCTAAAGAAGTATATTGGCACTGTCTTACATATAAAAGGTGCTGAAAGCAGTTGCTTCCAATGAAAATAACAAGACTCAACAAAACAACATAAAATCGTATTAAAATACATTATTTTCTGGGAAAGATATGCACATACACAAAAACAAATTTCTTAGCACAAAAAATACATCTATATAGATACACAAAGCAAAATAAGAAAAAAGTAAAAGCATATCAAAATAAAAATAAAAACACAGAGAAAATGTGGGACAAAGATACAAGAATCAAATAGAACAATAAACATTAGTAAGTCTCTTTGTTTCAGAAAACTTTGTGTCTGTACAGGCAGAAGAGATTATGATCACGTAGTACAAAAGCCTGTGTTGGTAAAGGAGACAAGCTCCTGCTACACATTCAGTGTCTGGGGTTGAGATAAGCCAGAAGTCTTCTAAGCACCTGTGTATATTCTTGGCCGAAAACTCTAGGGGCAAAGCTGTTGTGGGCACAATTCCGGAGGGTAAAACTTTGCCCTGGGAGAGGAGTGGCCATGTCAATTTTTAGTGGGTATGGTCAAGAGTGGGTCACAATCATGTGGGTCACAATCATGTGGGCACCAAAGTGGGGAGAGGAAATAAGTTCTCAGAATATTTTTACTCTCTTTTCCCTCTCTCCCTAGGAGACCAAGAACAACAGGACAATGTACAGTGTGACAGCCTGTGTGCAGAACAAAGCTTCACTTCCCTCAGACACCTGAAGTCTCCCTCCAGCCCAGGCCTGTGATAGTTAATACTGAGTGTCAACTTGATTGAAGGATGAAAAGTATTGATCCTGGATGTGTCTTTGAGGGTGTCGCCAAAGGAGATTAACATTTGAGTCAGTGGGTTGGGAAAAGCAGACCCACCCTTAATCTGGGTGGGCACCATCTAATCAGCTGCCAGCACAACCAGGATATAAAAGCAGGCAGGAAAACATGAAAAGGTTACATTGGCCTAGCTTCCCAGCCTTCATCTTTCTCCTGGGCTGGATGCTTCCTTCCCTCAAACATTGCACCCCAAGGTCTTCAGTTTTGGGACTCAGACTGGCTCTTTTTGCTCCTCAGCTTGCAGACGGCCTATAGTGGGACCTTGTGATCACGTGAGTTAATACTAAATGAACTCCCCTTTGTAAATATATATCCATCCTATTAGTTTTGTCCCTCTAGAGAACCCAAACACAAGGCCTTGTGGTAGCTCTCATCTGACAAAAAAAGTTGTAGTTTGCTGAACACCAATCAATTATCCAACACCAACTGGCTGTCCAACAACTCAATTCTGACATGTCCAACAACTCAATTCTGACACCACCCAGAGTCAACACAGAATCCACAAGTTCAGGACTCAGTCCCACAACACTGTCCCAACTGCAGATGCCAGTCACATGGCTCTGGATAACCATCTTTATTTCTGAACTACTGCTAACAAGCCAAGGTCTTCCACATCTTCCTCCTCAAGTTCAATAATTTGATAGGCTACTCAGAGAACTCAGCAAAACACTAAACTTACATGTTCGGAACAGGCCCCCAAAATCTGGCCATAAACTGGCCCCAAAACTGGCCATAAACAAAATCTCTGCAGCACTGTGACATATTCATGATGGCCATAACGCCCAAGTTGGGAGGTTGTGGGTTGACCAGAATGAGGGCAAGGAACACCGGGCCCACCCAGGGTGGAAAACCACATAAAGGCATTCTTAAACCAGAACCAATAGCATGAGCGATCTGTGCCTTAAGGACATGCTCCTGCTGCAGATAACTAGCCTAACCCATCCCTTTATTTCAGCCCATCCCTTCATTTCCCATAAGGGATACTTTTAGTTAATCTAATATCTATAGAAACAATTCTAATGACTGGCTTGCTTTTAATAAATACGTGGGTAAATCTCTGTTTGGGACTCTCAGCTCTGAAGGCTGAGGCCTGTGATTTCCACTTCACACCTCTATATTTCTGTGTGTGTCTTTAATTCCTCTAGCGCTACTGGGTTAGGGTCTCCCCAACCGAGGTAGTCTCAGTAAGTTGCGTCCATCATGGGGGCTCGAATCCAGGTTGAAGGGTCACTGGAGCAACGACTGGAGAATGTGGAACTAAGCTGGATGACACCCAAGTACTCTTAAAACAATTCCCATGGTGAGTAAGAAGGGGAGCTTGGAAGCATCAGGGTAACAATGGGACAAGTGTGGGCCCTGGTTCCTTCCTCCTTCTAATTTTTCCACACTGATAATGAGGAGGAAGGAGAGTATAACGAAGTAACAGAAGAGGTTATAGACCAGGTTTGCCAGCTAAAGTGGCACAGGAGGGAGAGGTTCATCCCTACCCTTCTGCACCCCCTCATTATTATTTTGAAGAAAAAGAGTGGCCTGACCCTCCAGATCTTTCTTTTCTGGAGGACACTGGGCAAAAACTAGTTGCCGCAGTAACTGTTCGAGCAGTGCCTTGAGCCACCATTCTTAATTCTCTTCAGGCAGGAATTCAGCAAGCTAGACGAGAGGGTGATAGAGAGGCTTGGCAGTTCCTTGTTAGAATACACCCCTCAGGTCAACAGGGAAATATAGCTACATTTGAGCCTTGTCCTTTTAAAATACTCTGGAGTTTAAACAAGGTATTAATCAGTATGGACCAGGTTCTCCTTTTGTA